AAAGCAAATTATGAATAGCTATTAATGATTATTTTAGAATAATTTTCATTATTTTAATGACAAGCAATTTAAAAAAAAAAGTGTTCTCAAGTTCACGTTCGTGTTTAAGCACATTTTAAATCAACAGATGTTGTACCAAAGTAATGTACAATCAACTTTATTTAATATTAATACAATTATTTAATATAATAAAACATTAATTAATAAAACATTATAAAAACACAATTGAAACGCCTGTACATCTCACAACATTAAAGGTTTTATAATTATTTCAAAAATGGAGCATTTACTTAGTTGTGGTATTTTGTATATGTTTTGGAATATAATGATGTTATTTGTTATTATTTTAAACATAAATTGGTTTTAAACTTCTGATCCACTTACTACAGAATAAAGAAAATATATGAAGACATTCCCTAGTAAAAATACATTTATTTCTTACTAAGTATACAGTTCAAATATATTAACATATTTACTGACATATCGCTTGAGACTTACTGATATAAAAATTATAATTAAACTTTTTTTTGGAGAACTACTTGTGCACAATGCACATTTCTTAATATTAAGCCTAAAATGTGTTTTAATGTCACTATTAATGAGCATTGTATAATCTTTGAGTAATATCGGTCTTTAAATGCTAGATATTTAAAGTGTATTCGCAGTAGTTCCACTTTAGCACAAATATACTTCAGTATATCTTTAGTTGGACTTCAGCACTACTTCTGCACAATTAAAGTACATTAAGCACAAAATTAGTTGTTCCAGTTCAGCAGACTTGAAGTATACCAGTTTAGTATACCAAAAGTACAACTGCAGAGTATTTTTATTACATACATAAATATGTAAACGTATTTGTAGTATACTTAGCATGAAATAAATGTATTTCGAATATATTTCAGTATATTTATTTTTCACTAGGGTTGCGGTGAAGTCGTTATCTGTTATGAATTTGTTGCACTGGATTCAGTCTGTAATTAAAGTCCTCTAAACACTGGTGATATGATTTGATATGGCACATCTGTATTCATATGCAGCCACTGTGGATATTTTTGACACACTGTTGAACGGTTTATTCTGGTAACTTATTCCACAGCACAGTTGAGTTCTTCATTTCCTTTAGCTTTGAATCACTGCAGGTTTGTTGAGATCTTTAGGCATCCTTTCTGAACCATGAAATATCAGCACACAGAAGCAGTTCTGCACAACACAGAACATTATAGAGATGAAAACCTGATACAGGTCTTGAGATGAAGGCAGTGAATGAGGAGGGGATTCACACGAATGAAGTGATGAAATGTTTGTTGAGCAGCAAATCAGCATATTAGAATGATTTCTGAAGATCATGTGACTCTGGCTCTAATGAACATGGGATTTTTTGCTGTATTGCTTCTGAAGCACTTGATTTGTGTACAATGCTTGTGCGGCTGCCGTTTGCGACAGCAGTTCTCATGCTCTCATGCATGCTTGTGCTGTTTTGCTCCGAGCAGCAAACTGACCAGGGAGAGCGGCACCGACTTCCCCATTCCCATGGAATATTAGAATGATTTCTGAAGATCATGTGACTCTGAAGACTGGAGTAATGATGCTGAAAATACAGCAATAAATTACAGTCATATTCGAGTGTGCATTACTGTGCTATCATGTTTAAATACTAGTCAGAAAATGAGAAGTGTTGGAAATGTTGACATCCACCTTCAATCTAAAACAAAGGAAATACATGTTTAGCAGATGACAGACAGACATGAAGCCATGCAGGGTTGTGCTGGTGTTGACGTGCTGTAGCAGCGATCTCAGCCTAAACGTGGTTCATTACGCAACAGCGCATCGATCTCCAGCTCACTGATCATGCAGACGTGCCAGAGCCTCTGAGCTCACTGATTATTAGCTCACGTGACTGTGATCGGTTGGGCTGGAGATTCTGTCATGTGACTCACAGACGTATTGATCGGTCAGTATTGATTGATCAGTTGTGGTGAAGTCGTTTGACTGTGGTTCTGTTCTTGTTGCAGTTGAGGCGGATGCAGGAGATGCTGCAGAAGATCCAGGAGCAGATGCACACGCAGAGAGAGGCGTATTAACACAGAGCAGATGACACAAGGCTTCACATCCCACTCAAACATGTCTGGGTCACATTTCACCCCAAAATAACAATAAAAAAAATGACAATTACGACAATAAAATAACGTCTTGTTTTGCATTGTAACATTATATTCTTGATAATGAATCACATTTAAACACCAAATTATAATTAAGGTAATGTAAAAAAAATAAAAAAATGTTACTTTTAAATTATTTTATTTTATTTTTTTATTGGTGATGATTTTCTTAATGTAACATGGGGTTATGGTGATATGAAAAGTGCATTCTGTTTCAAAAATATATATTGTGTTTAAATAAAAATAGGATATATAATTTTGAGTCGAAATTTAACCCAGACATGTTGATATAAATCAATGGAATCAATGGAACATTTACATTGCATAAAACATTCTTTATAGTGGAAAAAGGTTATTTAGATTATTAAAATGTTCTTCAGATTTGCAAAAAGAGTGTTTTTAAGGAGCTGATCACTGAAAGGTTCTCTGAGGAACCCAACATGATTATTCAGTGGCACTACTGCAGAAACAGCCGCTTGGAACCTATTAAACTCTAAACTGTGTTAGTAGTTTCGAGCGCAGTCTGACTGACGGTCTATTAATGAAATATCTCCGTGTCCTTGTGTAAATCTGGAGTCGATGTGTAATGCAGACGCGTCTGGCCCCGGGGCCCTTTAACCGCTCCGCTCGTTGTCCAGTATGTGTTTCTACCCCAGGATTGATATCATAGGAGAGATACAATGGAATTATTTGTGTTTTTTTTTTTACAATGTAACTTTATTTTGTATAATGTTCATTAATTGCATTGGTTGTAATGTATGTCTTTGGTTTTGTTGTATTTCTATATAAAACTGCAAAAGCTTCTTTTAGAATGTTTTTAAATAATAATAAAAAAAAAACTTTTATTTTCTTATTGGAGCAATAAAGTACTGTAGAGAGATATTTTTGTTAACACAGCTAACCCCTGAGTTATTGCTCCTCTGGATGAGATGTTTTCCCATCTTGAACTGGTTCCTGGAGCGCATGTATGAAGAGAAGCGTGTCCCTCAGACATCGCTGATGTGTTTGAGCTGCTGGAAACTCATCAACCCATGAACTTCTGCTGTTTGGGTGCTGGGATGTTCACTGTCAGTGTTCTAGACATGGTCTTACAGTCCACAGAATAAATGATATTTCTCCCACGTCATATATATATTTTCTTGGGTAATGTTGGTGAACACTATTAGCAAACGCCTAATAATTTATTATAGTTTACTTACACACACACACACACTCACACGCGTAAACACACTCTCACACACACACACACACACACACACACACACATTTAAGAAGTGAAAAGAATATGTGACACAATCTAACATCCTACAATGAATGTTGACGGAATCTGTGCATGATTTGTATTTTATTGATATTAACTCTTAACTTTGAAGTTTGCTGGACGTGAGGCCAAATCTCACTGCAGACATTACAGTTTTTTACGATTGCTTAAGCACAATTTTGAAAACAGGGCCCGGTTTGTCAAAACACTACACACAATTAACACAACCCTCCACCAAAGTAGCACAACACTTCAGATCATTTGCAAAATGGAACACTTTTGTCAAAACCAGAGCCAGAGCCGTGCGAGGATCCTGCCTCTGAGCCTCACGCCAAAGGCTCCTAGCGCCGTCTGTAGGCCATCATAGAGTCCGTCCCTGTGTTTAAGCACGTGAACCTCAGATCAGCTCCAGATCACTGGTTATCCTGGCGCCCCCTGTAGGTGTGCTTCAGGCAGTAGAGTAGAGCACATGCTGTGTAATCTGTTTAGTAGAGTCTCCGAAGCCTGCACGTCTCTGGCATGATGCACTTTAACCCTGCATCCCAGACCGACTGTTTACCAGTACAGCTGATGGAAACACTGATTACCCATTACATTTGACAAATGTCCACACAATATTTTTCAGTTTCAGCTTTTTTATAAATTCTACATTGATACTTCAGGTGTCGCAAAAACTAGTTTAAAAACACTGTCAAAAAATGGCTTTAACGCAAATAAATGTGGTGTCACATGATACATTTTCAGGTTACTTATTCTGTTGTTATCTGAACAACATTAGAGATGACGACAAAAAAGGGAAAAAAAATTGATAAATTATGATTTAAAGTTATGAGTATATATACACACAGTTGGAAAAGTTTAATTTTAGTGTGTAAGCAATCGTAAAAAACTGTAACAAACAGCAAACAGCGGACCTTCTTTATCAGCGCAGGTGGGCGTCTGTTTGTGAGCAAACGTAACCCCAGTGAGCCTTGAACACATGAGCCACACAATCAGTTCATCCGTTTGGACAGAGAACAACACTTCTGATTTAAATCATTCCAAACATGCAGATGCATTTATATGACGTGCAAGTTGAGCGCACATTTAATGTGACGATCTGAAGTGTTCTCACAGGGTAATGGCACAAAACTGCTCTGCCTTCACTCTTTATACTGGCCTTTTACCTCCGCGCTGCGGTTTCACAATGAGTTCAGGCTGCTGGGGGTTTATGAGGTGAAAGAGCAGTGCTTTATAATGAGTGTAACTTGACCCTGGCACTGTTCCACCATTTCTACTGCGTTTAGTGAGCAATCAGATGCGAACAGTAGCCTACAATAATGGTTTCGGATGAGTGAAAATGATTACATGGTTCATGCTTCTCATGATCTTGAAACGAGTATTCATAGACAAATGCATTGTATAAATATCTTTATAAAAAATGGCATTATTGTTTATTGGTTTATTTTATTGTAAGTGAAATGGATAATGAAGGAGCAGAGGAGCTGAATCCTGCAGCGTTACTCCCACACTCTCAAGCTATTCCATAGTGCTGACAACACTTTAAACCGTGGAAAACAGTCATGATAAAGAACGAGTTACACTTTGACATCAAAATATGACCTTTGACCCACATAGTAGAACGCAGGAAAAGCTTTTGAAGAAAGTCAAAGCATTTCTTCTTGTATCCTTATTTACGACCGCGGTGAAATGTGCCCTAAAACAAAAGAATCTGCTTCTTTGTGAAGAGGTGAGAACAACTAACTAAGGGCCGCTCAGACGAGACTATTGATATGCAGCAGGACAGAAGAGAGAGACATGAGAGAGAGAAGAGCGTCGGAGCGGATGAAAGAAGTGAACGCCACTGGCAGGAAGGGAAGATCACAGAAACACTTCCGTTACCTGTCTTCATCCTTTCATGCTTGCTCTCTAAACAAGTCAAAAAAGACTAATCAAAATGAAAAGACAACAGGATAAATTAAAGTACAGAGATAATAAACAGTGCATTGACCCGATTAATCCCAAATTTTCCCAGACATGAAAATATCCAAATGGTGTCATTAGTAACCCTTTGCAATAATTAATAATTACTTTTTTTTTTTTGGGGGGGGAAAAGTGTGTGAAATTTTTGGGGGGGGGGAAAAGTGTGTGAAAATGTGTGTTTTATGGTCGGTCACAATTGTGACCAGTGGGATAATGTGTGTACTGAATTCACATACAGTATGTCTGCAGTCAAAATTGTTATATATCTCAGCCCAGCTATTTGAAACTCTGTTTCATCACATTCTAGCGTTACTATTATGCATAAAAACCCTTATACAACACTGATAGGAATACTGAGATAAAATACAACCATCAACGCATTTCAAAATTGTTACTTGTAGAACCATCACTTCTACCACAAAAGACTGCTTTGTAAGTAATCTTCCTGATTTATCCCAATTCCCTAGCATTTCCAAAACCTCAGAACAACTTGATGATGTAAAATTCGTAACATTTGAACTTTGAATTAAGTGCAATATTGGTGCAAATTTGGTGCATTAGGTGCATACAGGAAGTAAACTGCTCTGGTCATGTGATCATTTGCACTAACCAAGTGAAACTTAAACATATTTAATAGAGACACTTTAATTTAAAACAAAGGAACAAAGGAAATGGTGTCTGATTTCCGACGGAGGACAAATGCTGCTTTGCCATTGACTATTAATGCTCAGGACATTGAAAATGATCAAAGTTTTACGTTTTAAGTTTCTTTAAGTTAAAAATTTTTTTTTAAGTTTCTTTAAGTTTAAATTTTTTTTAAGTTTCTTTAAGTTTTAAGTTTCTCAGGACTGCCATCTCTGCAACGTTAAAGTGGGACGACAACCTAAGAGGCATTATTTAAAAATCCCATCAAAGGCTTTTTTCTTAAAACAGCTTAAAAAGTTTGGCGTATCTAAAGTTTGGCATGTTGAGTTTTTATGGATCTGTCATTGAAAGCGTGCTGATGTGGTTTGGTAGCTCCACAGCTCAGCTTAGTAACATAACTCAGGCTGCTTAGAAAATTATTGGTTGTAATCTTCCCACTATTGATGAGATCTATGTCTCACGTTTGCAGAAAAAAAGGTTTAACAATCCTGAAAGACCCCTTACATCCAGCCAGACACCTCTTTACGTCTCTTCCTTCAGGCAGAGCAATTAAAACCAAGTCTACACGTTTTCTGAACAGCATTTTTTGTAGGATTGTGCAAGCTCTTAATTCCTCTCGTATCTATGCATCTGCATTTCACTCCTTATGATTGATAGGACATATATGTATAGTTGTATTTATGTATGTATTTTAATGTATGTTATTATTGTTGATGAGCTCACCAAGCAAATTCCAAACAACTAGGGTGTTTGGCAATAAATAAATAAATAAATTTTACCATATTTCCAGGAAATGCAGTAAAACATTTTTAGAACTGTATAAATGTAAACCTTCTTTATTGTCACTATTGTGACTGGTGGGATTAAATGGGTCAAGCAATTAAATATTTTGTTTCTAGAGTTATGAAGGCAAATATAACCATTTAAAACATTTGATTGTTTGTGAATTTTTCAAAGCATCTGGAGACTCCTAGAGATTCTCCAATGATAATAATGACAGTAAACACATTTTAACTAACAAACCTGGCTGTAAAAA